CTATTGTTAGTAATATTTGAGGGTCAAAGAAGCACATCAGGCGCTCGGGAACCCTACAAACGCGCGGGTGAGGTAACCAGATATCTACCCGAGGGACTGTAAATGCCAAGGCTATGGACTGTGGATTTCGCCAGCGGAAATCGCGTCGTGACGCGATTTGGCGCGGGCGCGCGCCAAAATCGACCCCCTCCTCAGCTAGGTTCGGGTCGGGAAATTCACAGTCCCAACCGCGGCATCACAGTCCACTCGGCACCCAGATCTGTGGCTTGCCCCGAGCTTTAGCTGACCTACTTGCTTGCTCCTGGTATTTATTCCTTACTTAGCTGCACTGTACCGTAGCTGCACATGTACTATAGTTCAAAGAAATTTTATTCCGAATTTTCTACCCTACCGTACCCTCATGGAGGAGGCTGCATCTGCCCGCCTCCCGAGCTTGACTTGCAGCGGTGGCGGGAGTTGCTTATGTAATCCGATTGAGACCGTAAACTTTCCTATGATCAGATTCACTTACCTGCTGGACATAAATTGAGTCTCCTGCCATATTGAGGCGGCCGTCAGGCCGGCCGAAATGTGGCGGCTCAAAATGAGCTTTCTTGATGTACATGTTGTTCTCCGGCAGTGGTTCTACGTTCAACTGCTCGCTCTCCAGAGCAACGGTAGAGCGGAAGGGAATCGGACTCCGGCGTGCCGCGCAGCGCCGTACTTAAGCAAGTTGATAGGAGTGGGTGCGATTGTAGCGGCGGGCCGTCGCATCCAATGGGAGCTTAAGGATCGCGATCCATTCCAGATACCAGTAAATTCTATGCATCTGACACAGCCTGCATGGAAATCCCGACACTCTGCGCTGTCAACCGAGGGTCTCACTTTGGCTGATGTTGTTCGGCGGGGGCTCGAAACACTGAGCTTCCGGCCTTCGAACAATACCCATTGACAAAGGTGAGTACAGCCGAATTTCTGAATCCAAACAAGTGAGGAGAGTAAGGATTTGGAAGCAATAAGCTTTCGATTCATTGTCTCTCTCGCATGAGGGGGGGGGGTGTGCGATGTTCCACCTGAAAGGCAGACAAGGTATACTTTAGAGATAATTACAGTGACGCAGAAACAGTCTGTTAGCTTCTGCCTTGTATAGCACCACCGGACAAGGCGGCAGTTACACCTACTTGAGAGCATTTAAGCAGGCAGGAGGTATGGAGACTCTTAAACTGGCAGCAGATGTTGCAATTCTCACTTACTGGAATATCAGCAAGGAGTGCAATGCTCCTGACCATCAAGGGGCCACTCTAGCTACAGAGTTGCGGCAGGTATCGAGCCCGTTAATCAATAACAGCCAATAACTCCGCATAGTTGCGCATGCTGTGTCCATTTTCAGAATCGCATCTGTGAGTGTCGATAGGAATCAAGGAAGTAAGATGTGATGATACAAGCTATGTTGCACTGGTACAGGATAACTCCGTTTCTGTGCCTTTCAATAAGGATCCATCGGAGGCTGCCATGCGGAGACCACGAAAGTCAGTCTCCATGGCAGGGAGCCCTTTTGGACGTGGCTACACATGACAGGGATGGGGCCGTTGTCCGCCTTGATTTGCATAAGTCTGTGGTTTGTGACATGGTAATGTCAATGGATGAGCCAGCTAACGGATCCGGGAGAGGCTGCAGGAAGATTTGTTTGAATCAGCGTAGTACTCATTCTCGCCGGCATTCACCCCAACGACGCCGATGTCTGAATATCGATGTGTAGCCGGCGGTATTGCCGCGCACACTTCAGTCCTGCGTGATTTGTAGCCTGCTATGTTGTCATGACCGGCTGAAGGGAAGATTCGGTTTATGTGCAGCGGCTATGGGCCTTTACTACGGGTATGGAAGGGGCGGACCTTCGAGCGAGTTGATGACCCGCTTGGGCCTATGTTTGGCTCTGCATATGACGCTGCCTTTCTCAAGTCAATACCTCGGTAAGTGGGGCTGCCACATTTCCAACGGCTTCCAGCGCTGAAGTAGGGTTTCTGCAGTCTCGGAGACATCGAGGAAAGGATGGGATATAGGGAGCTCTGTAAGATATAAGCCATGCCGTATCTCGTATAATGGACGCAGATAAGGACGCGGGTCGTGAGCTCGAGCGCGGTATAGAGGCAGTCGGCTCCTTCCACCCACGCGGCGGCAGATTAGGGCAGTGGGAAGGAAAACATTCCGTGGAATAGCAAGAGCGACTCTGCTATTTCATGGAATCCGAGCGGCCAAAAGCATGGTACGCCTGGTGTTTCCTCATTCTCTCTAGAGTTGCTCGAGCTACAGCCACGCCCGCTATCACGTTATGCAGCCAGCCTGTCCTAGGGTAGCGAGGTGCCCGACTTGCGAATCCGCTTCTGATCCGGAGAGCTTGCCGCTGGAGAGGTTTTACCTCAGTATAAGATGAGCTGCATCGGGTTTGAACTTCGCGTTGTTGTGTCTCATTTGAAACGGGAAGACTGCCCAGTTCTCACAGGATTCATGCACGGTCAGTCTAAGTTACCTGAGACTCGACTGCCCTTCCCACAGACTTCGGACAGCATACAAGGGCCGTCGGCTGATACGCGCATCGCCGACGGATACATTTGTATTGTGGGGCTACGGAACCATAGGTGAGAGCTCCGAAAGACGGATCTCTTGAAATCTAACTTATTCCGTCACCCTTTGGTGCTGCACTGTCGATAATGAATCCATCGTCATTAAGAGTTACACAGTGGATACGTTCTCGCCGATGTGGATCGGTGACAGTTTAAGATATTCGTCTTGTTGAGGTACTGAAAGCCTTGACTTCTCCAGCTCCGAGGTAGTGGGATCCTGTGAACGAGAGCGTTATACCTGGCGCACTATCAGCCATATATCAATCAACCATCAGCAGTAATTGTCATTCAGTGTGGTACTGCTGTCCCCTCAAGTGGCTCGATCATCTGATATGATCACACGTCAAGACACTATTCATGGCCGATTTTGTGATGCATCCCCCCGCGCAGTGCAATATCTTCCAAGCAGGCCTTGTGAGTTTGGTACTTCACATATAGACGAAGGCAGAGCAGTCATGCTAATCCGCTCATCTGCAGGTGGGAGCTTGTCAGATGTGCGGAACAGAGGTGATCTACTCGCGCCTGCTACAAGGCGATTAAAATATCTCTGTTCTTCGTGCATATAACGGGTGCGGCTATCCTCCAACGCTATGTCATACCTCCGAGTCCCAGGATGTTTTGGGTGAACCATGCACATTTAAGAGTGTTCCACTACACCCGTCCTTTCACCCCAAGATTTCCATACTCCAGCCATGGAGGATGATAGGTCTCTGCTGTACGTGCTTCTCTGCCTGTCTTATTTCAGCCTCAGCGTTGTGATTGATACTTGTTCCCCACAGACAGCTATACAACATTTTCAATTTGGTGGCCATAGGTACGTCGTTCGAGATGGAAGGACCTTCAGATCACTTCATTCTGCCTCAGTGGTGCTGTACTATGACCATACATTGACATCAGACGACGAGATTTCATATATCTGGAAAAAGCCTTGGAGGTTTGGCAAGACATGCTTCATGCTCAATCGATATTTCGCTATCCTATCCAATGCCTTTGTTATGTATGAGGCATTCAATGATCTATCCCCCCAAGTACGTTGATCTTCGAGCCCCTTTCCCGAAGTGAGCTAATTTATCCATGGCAGAAGTAAGAGGGTGGATAATACCTTCCCTGCATTCTATCTGATCATCTTGACTAGATGCTCGGAATATGATCTGGTGCATGAGCTTGGCTTTTGGGCATCTCAGATCTTTGTGACCAGTAGGCCAGATATCAATGCGCTGAGTGAGACGCCAACTAATATCCATGACACGCAGCGCTTATGGTTCTGAGGGTTTATGCGCTGTATGGTTGCAGTAAGCGCATGCTCGCTGGTCTGGCTGGAGCTGCTGTCCTGCTCACTCTTATACAACTGGTGCGTGTTTCCTGCCTGTTCAGGTGTGGACGTTCGAATATACAACGCTTGTCGTCCAGATTTTGGGTCTCCGTGGACGGCCGACGGTGGCTTTGGGTATGCCGAGCTGTATTCTCTTTCCTCGTGATGATGCGTATGATAAAATGCTCTCGCTTTTGGTCTTTGCTGACTTTAAGAAGTGTATACTGTAGGTTCAGACCTCGTTGGAGTGACTGGCCCGGCTCTGAAATACATTCTAGATCTTGCGGGCGTCTGGGAGGCAGGCTTGGCCTTCGACACCCTCATCTTCATTCTCACTGTCTCCAGAACATGGTCAAGCAGCCCATTACGCAGTAGGAATCTTATGAACTGGTGGGGAATAGGAAGGCTCTTCCTACGCGACGGTTAGTTCAGTCCTGACATTATCTCTCGGATTTTTTGATCGAATAGCTGGCGGCAATTAGGAGCCCTTTATTTTGCGTAAGCACTACTAGTGTCTTAACAACAGGCATTTTATGGTGTCCCATGACAGGTGCATGTGTATTGCCAATGGTGCGAATGTCCTCATGTTCTATGTGAGTCATATACATCCCCGTAGCCTTCCGTGATTATTTTAACGGAATTTCTGCGTTCGCGTATCCTGCCGATGTTAAGTTCGGACCAGTAAGCGACATCTTGTAATGTATCTATGCGGCATTGTTGACATATTGCTATCCCCCTTAGCCTCTCCTCAAGGGCAGCCTGGCGACGCTTGCCAATATGTGAGTCACTACATGTCTATCCCGACGGTATATTGATTTCATGCCCTTCGTCTTCTAGTATTGGCGTCACCATGATGTCTCGGCTGACTCTTAACCTTTACCGTCACCTGGAATCTACCGTTCATGAGACGCCCCAGATTCTTTTGACGACTCTGGGTCCATCAAATTGTTCTGGAGTAGCCAGCGAAGATCGCCTGCACGCCTCGCTGCCAGTGTCCATCATTTCGTCCGAACACCGCGTAGCTGCACTGGCATGATGACCACAATTCGGGGCCTATCAACGTGCCTTCGCATCGACATATTGGAACACGCTTTACTGAGGTTCCCTCTTCCCTGGTGTGGAGTAATGTCACCTTTGGAAGACATATCCATGAATAGAGAGAAGTTCCCGATGCTTCGCTTTAACCATCTGATAGTCTGTCGGTCATCATATCATTTATATATCTCCGTCTCTGCATGTCAGATCATGGCTTTGATACTTTTCTGTCATCTCCCAACAATTCTGAATCAGAACATCAGGGAGTGAAAACATGGACGCTCTCGAGTCAAAGCATGAGTAAGGCGGACCCGGATCTTCGTAAGTATGGTGAATACGAAGGGCAGTACTAACAACGTGGGGATGATCCGCGAAAAATGTACCTGTGATTTGTTCACAGCGGGCAAGGACCGGTGTCCCGCCCCCGGTCACGGTCATTCATCTTTCACGGCAAGGGTGGAAGAACACTTTCTTAGGATGCTCCGTAGCGGAACATGATACAGACATAAAGAATGAAAGGACAAGGTTAATTAAATGTCCCCTGATTTTTGGGGACCATAGTAAATGTCCCGCAGACCTTTCTTTGCTCACTCAAAGGACATTCTTCATGTCCAGGTTATGGTCCAGCAAAGACCATTCTAGGGAAGTGTTCTCCCAACAGGGAGATGTTCCTGGCATGCCCGCCGGCGGGACATCAGTCTCTGCCCGCAGTGGTTGGTGATTGGGCCTACTCTGAACGAATTTACACGGAGCCACGGTGGTGGAACTCTTTGAGTTGCATGACGAGACACGTAACGAGAGGATGCTCGTATACACAAGCGTACTATAGAAATTACAAGCACAAGCTCGACGTACCCTACGTAGTATCGGACTGTCCGCAGATTGAAGTAATAAATAGATTGTTTGCCCGCATTCTGTACCCCGAGAGTGAAATGAATAAGTTACGTTATAGTTATGTGGTCTTGCAGAGAAGCTCATCATCCCACCCTTCAGAGTTGACACCCTTCTTCACCAGGAGCAGATCATGCGGGTCAACCTGCTTCTTGATCTTGAGAAGACGTGCGTAGTGCGCATCACCCCAGTAAGCTGCCTGCCAGTTCTGCTCGAGCATATCAGGCTGCGTAGATACTCAATTAGTCGCAGCTCATGCAAAGCAGACGGTAAGGAGGAAAACTGACCTCGTTCAGATACTGTCCACCCAATGGAGGAGGCGCCAATTCACGCAGAGGCTGGATCTGATCGTAGGCGCTCTGGTACATCTTGTTGAGGGCATCGACAGTCAAGGCGTCCTCACCGCCGGTGACGAACCCGGGCAGAACGGTCATGTCAGAAACAGCCGTGCGCCAAGCAGGTGTAACCGCCGTCTCATCGGGGTCTACCTTCGCGACCTCGCCACCTGCAACCATGCTGAAAGGGCGAAAGCTTGTCAACACAACGAAACCCCAAAGAAAAACCGGACGGATATACGTACTAGGGGACAGCAACGCTTAAGTTGGCGAAGATTCCACCCAGGAGCTTCGCGTTCTCTGGGGAAGTAAGGTTGCGCGGCATGAGCCAAGATGAGGTCGCCGTAGTGTTCGCGCTCCCAGCTGTCCAGTTGAACCCGTAACCGTTCTGCGAGTTGACGAGGTTGTCAAGGTTCCATTGCTGGAAGTTGGGGTACACCTTGGTCATGGCGAGGGTGACGTTCACTCCGGAGATGTTTCTGGACGCAGCGAAGAAGGCCTCCATGGTGGCGTTGGCAGCAGGGTTGGTCGGAGGGTCGCCCGGGCTGAAGAAAGTCAGGTAGAAGGTGTTGGCGAGGAACGGCCAGACACCAGACCAGCCGGCATCGGCGATCTGGTTGTGCATCGACATCCATGTCGTCAGCAGCGTGGTGTACGCGTCCTTGGTGGCGGCCGTGGCGACGTAGAAGACGGCGGTGATCGGAGGGTTGGGATGTGTCTTGTAGGTTGTGGAAGTGACTATCCCGAAGCTAGGTCCTCCGCCGCCGCGGAAAGCCCAGAACAAGTCAGGGTTCTTGTACTTGTTCAGCGTGACGGATTGGCCGGTGGGGGTGATCGCGGTGAATTGTAGCACGTTGTCGACACCTGGTTTGGAGGTCAGATGTAGTCCTCCGTATGATTGCTATAAGACTAACCGAGGCCGTAGAAAGGAGACAAGACACTGTGTCCACCGCCAAGAACCCAGCCCGCGGCGGCACCGACAGTACCGTCGGGACTGAAACCACCGGGCACGAACACGTTTCGCGCGTTTGCAGCGGCGTAGACTTCAAACCATTGCACGGATGAACCAATAGTTACGGCTGTGTGACACAGGGTATCAGAAGTTAATGAGTCTATCACCGGGGACTGGAGGAGAGATACTAACCTCCCTGGCCTTGCGTGCCCCTTGGAGCGCCTTCGGGTACAAAGCTGTCTTTGAATTCAATGCTCTTGAAGTTGTGCAGGGAGAGCTCCAGCGCCTGAGAACCTCCAGAGCGACCTAAGAGTTCGTGCCTGGGTAATAGGTATATGGTCAATCCCGAACCGAGAAAACGAAAGACCGTTTCTCACCCTGTGTTCCGGATAACCAACCGGAGATTGTGTTGGGTAGCGAACTGCAGGGTCTTCTTGATGTCCTGAGTAGTGGTCGCATTGACGACATATTTGGGGATACGACCCTGATCACAAGTCGTTTCGCCAGGATAATACGGCCGAGGACAGTACTGAACGCTCCCATTCACTACCAGGGCTTCCAGGTTGACGAAGCCCAGACAATTAGGCTGGGAAGTGAGGAAGGGAGGATCGACGACGTGCGCTGTGACCTCCGCACATCTGGCTTCATTGTACGCCGGTGAGTTGGGGAAGCATACGGCGTCCAGAGGCAGCTGGTCTTGGATAACCGGCTGGCTGAGCTGCTTGCTGAAGGAGTCCCACTGCTGTTTTGATGGGAAGCATGGCTGATCGTACGTGCACTTGCATGTCGTGCGGGAAGAAACGAGGGACGCGAGAGCGAGAGTAGTAAGGAATGACCCCAGCATGATGAGTGCTGAAAGGTGCGACGGAAGGGAAATCTCGAACTACCGCGCCTGAGAGAACGCGGGTTTAGGAGGAGGCGTCCTCACTCTCTGGTATTTAAAGCGCTCGGCAAGGTCGGAGACCAGTATTGATTCAGGCACGATCCTGGCCTCGCCATGGCAGTAACAGGCCCAATAATCGACACCGCTATGTCGGACGTACCTTCTCTGACGTCCGCTCGCTGTCGTCTGCAGATCAACAAGGCAATCACATCATGAGACCTGACTCTGCCAGGGGCAGTTGCTCGGCCAGCGCGTCGCCGCAGATGTGCCGCCCAATACGTCCGGTACCGTGGACTTATCACATCCGTGAGTCGATCCCTGCGAGGCATGAGAGGGACCAAAGCCTTGTACTGCAGCTGTACTTCTCCGGTTCTCATCGCTTCTTTGAGCGTCCAGTACAATGTCCGTCCAACGTCGCTTCGACAGAAGCAATCCTTGATCCGCAAATACCGAGGTCGAAGGAAGTGGAAGTCCGCTGGAAGCCAGTGCCACACCAGCGCCTACCGCCACCCACCTTCCATAAATGGCAATTCCGTACGGTACGGCGAGCTTGCCAGGCTGTGCGCCGTAAGAGACTCTGTCCAAGCCCTGCCTACGGCTCGGTTCCGCCACAAAGGATATGATGTGGTGAGCATTCGTACACACCGTGTCCGAGTTGGAGTTTCCGCGACACACGGGTGACTTCGTTCAACCCAGGCGCAACCCACCGCTGTGTAGGTCGTCTTCGAACGTTCGCTTCACGCGTGTATCGGTGAACGACTGGGAAATGCTAGGCTTGGAATGACGTTGTGCGGTGTGCTTATTTTACCTGATGGGAGTGCATGAATGTTTCCTCCGACCGTATGATGTCTATAAGCCATAGGCAACGGTCATCAGGGACAGCCACATCGGCCAGAGTGAAAGAGCCGATACCCAAGCGCAGCGACACGACCTTTCTCAGCAATGACCTAGCTTCGACCAGAAGGATTCAAGTTTATGAATAGACCGCAGTCGGTAAAGTCCAGGGAAATGAGGTGCGCTATGTCTTGGAGGTAACGTGGACAAAGTGAGAAGTTTTCGTGCCTATCAAGATATACAGATTTTCGTGAACTCGAAGAGGGCCGACCATTTGCTGGAATAGATTTTGGACCTGCATATAGACTAGAGACATGTGGACTGTGTATAACACGCGGACGACTTTGTCTGTGCCAGTCTATGCCAGTGGGATGGTGGTTGTGCGAAAGAAGGCTCTTCTTTTCCGAAGGTGGCGTTCAGGTGGCGGCCAACGGCCCAACGCTCGTACAACTCCCATATACAGTATTCCTTATACTCTCGTCCTATAGTCTCCCATGCGAACTTGGCCATTCAGATATCTTTACGTCTGCTATTCGGACGGGTCCTAAGGACTAGGCCATTGACACGAGGCTAATAGCCTCTAGTAAAGTCAGACTTCGGATCGACCTCCGCTGCCTATCAATCCGAGAATCCGAGGTACTCGGAGTTCCGTATACATAGATAAAGGAGCATGATGGCAGTCCAAGGGAACAAGAGTCTCGTGAAGTACGATGGCTCTCTTTGCCCCAGCCCCTCCTCCGGCCACGCGACTTGGTCGCCTGCGTAATCTCTCTCCTCTTGCGTCGGTGACCGTCTCGCCGTTATGCCTGGGAGGTATGACTGTCGGTGATCAGTGGGGCCAGTACGGGTATGGTGCTCAGAATAAGGTCGGTTTCCTCAAGACCGTCTCATTTGGGGCTCCTGGTGAACTGACTATAGGAAACGAGCCTCAAACTCTTGGATGCTTTCTTTGATGCTGGAGGCAACTTCATCGATACGGCCAATAACTAGCGAGTCGACTGTGTGATATATTCAACGTCCCGTTGATGAGTTTTCACAGTCAGGATGAGACCTCCGAGAAATTCATCGGGGAGTGGATGGAGCAGCGTGGTATCCGTGATCAAGTCGTGATCGCCACAAAGGTATGTCGGATGAAGGATCCCCCACGATTTCGTCTGACATATGTGTATAGTACTCCACGATGTACAAACGAGCACCGAACTCTCAGATCAAGCAAAAGGCGCTGTACGGCGGGAACCACCTCAAGTCGATGCACACCTCCGTAGAAGAGAGCTTGACGAAGCTACGGACGAGCTATATCGACATTCTCTACGTTCATTATTGGGACTACAACACATCTGTGGAAGAGGTCATGAACGGCCTGCACAACCTCGTCGTGCAGGGTAAGGTACTTTACCTGGCAAGTCGCCTTCTTCGTCTCTCGCGTTATATGATACATCGTGGTCTGATTTGGATTCATATATAAGGGTATATCTGACGCTCCTGCGTGGATCGTCTCCAAGGCCAACCAATATGCCCGCGACCACGGAAAGACGCCATTCGTCATATACCAAGGCGCGTGGAACGTCATGCAGCGCGACTTCGAGCGAGAGATCATCCCGATGGCACGGTTCGAGGGTGCGTCCATCCCTTTCCACAAATAATGACGTCTTTTAGTGACACTTGCCCTTTCCCAACTAGGTCTTGCCCTGGCCCCGTGGAATATCCTGGCTGGTGGACACATCCGCACAGACGAGGAAGAAGAGCGCCGCCGACAGACCGGTGAGAAAGGCCGGACGACCTGGCGTGGTGACTGGGAGCGGTCCGAGAAGGAGAAGGAGGTGTGCAAGGCGCTCGAGAAGGTCGCAGCGGAAGTAGGGGCGCAGCATATTCAAGCAGGTAAGCGGGCAGCCTTCATCGTGTCCATAATGCTGTCATATAAGCGTGGGGGGCTGTCACTACTAGTCGCCATCGCGTACTTGCTGCAGAAGACGCCCTACGTTTTCCCAATCGTCGGCGTCCGTAAAGTAGAGCACCTGATGGCGAACATCGAGGCACTGAGCATCGCGCTCTCTCCGGAGCAGATCGCTTTCATTGAGAGTATCGTCCCATTCGATCTGGGGTTCCCGTCGAATGTCATTGTAAGTCGCGTCGGAGGCCTGCGTTACGTCTCCATGCTGACTTCCGGATAGGGTACGGGCACGGAGAACATGCGGTTCATGTCGATGGGAGGGACGTTCGATAAGGCTCCTGTTCAGCAGCCGATTCGGCCCGCTCCGTAGAGATCGGATGTTTCACGAAGAAGTGTATAATACAACGGTAAGTGCTTGGCTCGCGTAAGCTGCATGTTATTGACATGGATGACAGTTTCCTGTAACAGACGTACGTGTATACAAATTTCGGCCTCTGGACATTCCTCAGGGTGAATATATGGGGCACGCTGGAAAGAACCGATGTTGTGAAGGCTTCCAGACTGCCAAACTTGATGGTTTGTAGTCAAATCCAGAAGCTTCTCTGGTTAGGCATTATTTTTCCATACTAGTTTTCCTGCTGCGCGACACGGGGCTGATTGAACACCTTTCGATGTGTCACTGACGTGACAGAAGCAGGTTGAATCGATGAATTTACTCAGCCCACATCCTCGCGTCATGCTCCGTCAGAGTGGGAATGCTCCACTCTCCCTTATCCCAATTGTGGCTACGACTCGACGGTTCGCTCATGGGTAACATTCTGTCTTTGTGCTTCCACGACCTGGTTGGGCTTGGACAATGCACGAATGCCTGCTCTTGGGGGGCTATTCGAACCCTGGACCAGTCGCTCGCGCAGCCATTCAAGCGGCTGGAAATCGCAAGGCTATCAATATGCATACTTTACAGGCTCCACGTTTCATTGCAATGGTTTCCTTGCCGCACGAACATACGCCTGCAGAACCGTGGTTGCGTTCCGGCTACTCTGCTCAAAGCCTGTAAGCACAACGTCATCGAGTCCATGAAACGTGGCCATGTCTCGTACAATCTGCACACACCATGGCTTGCTGATGATCAGCAAAAACTTCCGGTCCGCGTCGCATTTACCAAGCTAAGCCTGTCCGGATGTTTGCAAAATTACTACTCCAAGAAGGCGGCATTTTGTGCTTCTCTAAGACATATCGTTGAAACCACCTTATTCTGTGCTTGGTGGGTGGCGTGGAGGGCCGCTGGCGGTGCCGATGAAAGCCGCAAGTCTAACGACGCCAAACTGAAAACACCTTCCTACTCCGAGCAGGACACTGTCGGCATACATTCCCTCTCGTTCACGCCATGCTTCGGCAAGGCCAGTTTACAGTGCACGGGTCCATGCATAGCTCCTCCGTTGTTAAGCCTCCCAAAGTGAGATGCATTGCATCTTGCTACCACCCGTCCGTGGTGTTCGAGTGATTTGTGTTGCGCAAAGCAACTCAGCATGGAATAGTCCCATTAGCGTTACAAAGCAAGTCTACGTCGCCCGCCCAGGGGTACGTTACATGAATGTCAAAATTGTGAAGATACCATTTTGCTGTGGCCAAGTGTTAAACCTCATCCAGGTCACTTTGTTCCCCTCAAGCCACGCTGGTTAACCTTGTTCTCGGACTATTTGGACCATCCAGAGGGTCTACTCTCATACCCGCCGCAGATAACAAGCTAAGGACAGTGCGTAGCTTGGAGACCATCCAAAGCAGCGATGAAGGAGCTGTTTGTGAGAGCCTGTGTACTCCCGAAGAGATCTGGTGAAACTATAGGTTGAGAGTTATCATACTTGGGGGGAGTGGGCCAATGCTATGCATGGCTGGTTACGAGTCCTGAGCTGGGCATAAGATACTCCCTATTTTACACTGTATATCATAGAGCTGACACAAATATTCCTATCTTTCTTGAAGTATTATTTGAATTTCACTAGACCTCTCAGGATCATCTTGTATATTCCTTGATTTGCTATAGAGCTCTGAATATATTATGGATTTCCCGCATTTTTCACAATTTTTATGGCCCTTCTACAGCCTGCAATCAATTCCAGATACCAATGATGTAATGGCTCTGCAGATCGGGTGAACCTGCAGAGTCATAGAAGGCAGGAGCCAATCAAAGTCCAGGAATCCAAACCGACGCGGCCCGCACCTCAGCCACTGACTACAAGCCACTACAACAGTCAATTCCCACGATAAGCAATAAAAGTAAAACCGCCATGCGGACTAGGACAAGACAAACAATCGATAAATTCACGAAAATACTGTTGTAGACCCCAGAGAAATTGTGGCGCTACTTCCAACT